TTTTTTTGTAAAAATTTCGTGTACTTGCAGGCTGTGTTCGGCAAAGAGCTTGTGTTGCGTTGGTGTGTCCTAACAATTTTCATGAGTTGATCTTCTGTTCCTTCTGTATAGTCTGCTAGGTTTGTGGTTTCTGCCACGTAAGCCGCCTCTATCTGTATCAGGCCTCGTCCTCCCTCTTTTCTAGGAACATACAGACGGTCTATGTCTGCTCTTGGGTGATGCTGTCCATAGGTAGTTAATACTTTCCTTGTTTTCCTGTCCAATTTTAGTATCTCCTCTTTGTGCCAGTTAATAATTCCAAAACTGTATCTCAGTACTGGTACTGCCAATGATCCAATTACTTGCATTTTGTTTTTTGCATTCAGCTCTGTGTTCAAAATCAATCTTAATCTTCTTACATACACCTTCTTCAACCTTTCTTTCTCTTTCTTGTGTTCTATCTGGTGGTTCTCTTCTTCTACCAGTCTCTATACCCTACCGATACTGGTGTGTACCATCAGTCCCGACTCAGCCAGCGAGTTCGGCCTCTACTGCTGAGCGGTATCTCTTGATGCTTCCCCTATCTACCAGAGGCATAGACTACTGTTGGGCGGGAAATGTCCTGAATTTCGCTCAGTGGTCCCCTTGGGACATGAGGTTCTTTTACGTGCCGTAAAGCTACGACACGGGACCCATGGCTTAAAGTCCCTCCCGGAGGACTTGTTCCCTGAATTTTTCCGCCCTTAAAAATTCCACGACCTCCGCCGGGTTTGAACCCACGTACCTTGAGTCATTAGGTGGGAACGTTACCCCTAGACTACGGAGGCCGCTTCCACTCCCATGTATGTCTTTATGGTATACTGCTGAACTAATTAAGCACAGGGACATTACCCCCACCATTTTTAGTATAGATTCTGCATGTGCAGGATGGGTGGTGAAAATTTTGTTGAGGCTAAATAATTGTTGTGTATTCCATACAGTCAACACATGTAGTGGCCGCACAATTCAGAGGTCATATGTGTCTTTTTGCCTATCTGCATGATTTATAGTAATTTGGGTCATGTTGCACACCATTTGATGGATTTAGATGAAATTTGGTCTAATCGGTCTACTGAAAATTTTCAAGTTTGGTCCACCATAACCATTACTTTATATGATGCCAAAATTAAACTATTTTCCCACATTTCTCAGAAACAAAATGCAACCTTTTTGTTTGAAAATCTGAGGTCTCACAGTCATTGTGATTTATATGTATGTTGTGGTCTTCTGGGCCATTACACCATGTATATCATTTTATTTTTGTAAATAAGGTCTAAAAGTTTGTGATGATGACATATTAATACAACTACTGTGTTTCTGTACATTATCCATCGTACTGTTTTCATGTACCACACCGTCCTCATTTACATAAAAACAGCATTATGGATAATGTCCGGAAACACAATACACTCAACTCTCGATTATCTGGGGGCAGATAATCCGGTTTGCAGCTTAACCGGGGCTTTTTTGAGGCTTATATGTTGTTTAATATTCATTCACTTTTGTTTCACATGGTGAGCTGTAACACTGTTTTCACACTAGTGTGAACCGAGCTCTGCATTTCTTGGTCCCATTATGCTAACACAATGCAGAATGCAGGATGCAAGGATTTGTGGAAGTTTCAAGGACAGATAGACCACCCGAGTTAGTCCTGTTTTCACACTAGTGAAGTGCATTAGCAAAATGTCAGGGTATAAAAGGAAGCATGTTGTGATAAGTATTGAACAGAAACTCGTGTGAACCGGGCTTTGAAATGTTAAGCAGTGACAAAACCTAAGTTCAGTGGGGGTGCAGCCAGAAGAGTGGGAAGAGAGTGAGAATGAGGAAGATGTGGACGCTGCTGCTAGTAAGACAATATCACATGGTGCTGCCCTTAATCATTTGGAATCCTTACTAGACTATCTTGAGAGTGAAGAGAAGAGTTTATTAAGTGACAAGCTAATATTACATAGGCTTTGTACAGATATCCATAAAAAGGGAAATGCCGCGAAAAAGTAAACAACAATATTAAATTTTTTTAAGTGTGCAGCGTGAATATTCGTAAAAAGGGTTGGATGTTGTTGAAGACTGTGATTGAAATAACTAATTCATACTTCAGTGTAATGTAAAAAAGTATTACATAGGCCATGAGATGACATAAAAACGAGGTTGAATAAATTTAAATAAAGGTAGGGCTATAGTATTATGAAGGTACAGTATTACAGTACTACTTTTAATAAAATTTGTCTTAACTGGGTTTTCGATTAATCGTGATTTCCATCCCCACCATTATCCTGGATAATCGAGAGTTGAGTGTAGTTGTATTTTATTTTTGGTTTCTTTAATGACATTGTGTTTTTAACAGTTGCTTCCTGTTACATATATACAGTGAACATATATAATTCTTGCCTTCAATGAAACCATATTTTATTCTATATTATTTATTTATATAGCATGCACTACATGTGTTGACTTCAAACGGGTCATCTTCAGGTGCTGCAAGTTTCTCACATACCATTACTGAACTGGTTTGTGAGAAATTCTAGTGCCTGAAAATGACCCAATTTGAGGTTGACACATATAGTGCATGATATATAAATAAATAATAAAGTATTGTTGTGTTGACGGTAAAAATTATATTTCTCCAACTATATCAATATGATATGAACTGTATGATTTAAGAATGAGTCGGGAAGCATGTGGAAGGAAGGAATTTAATGTGTCTTAATCTGTGATACTGTCCTGGCATTTGCCTGGGACTACTGAAGAATATTAAAATCTTGAGTGAGGGTCATCCATGTCCTGTCCAAATTTTGAACCAGCCACTTCTGGAATACAAGTCAGATGCATTGCTGCTTGAGCTAGCCTGTTCACTGACATGGTGCAGTCTGTTAGGTGATTATGAACATTTCAGAGGCATCTGTTACCACCATCTTGAGGGTAGGGATTCTAACCAAGTACTAAACCAAAAGAAATAGTAATGGCATGTTTAGCGATATCACATTTTCCAGGACAGACTGAGGAAAATTATGAAGACATGTCATGGTTGCATGTCTCATGGCTAAGTTTTAAACAAGATGCGTCGGATGTCAGAGGAACTTGCTGATCACTCTGTTTGGTTATATTGCAGCTGTGAGTGTCCACGTGGATATAAGGGTAAGATGTGCCAGGAGATGGAGTTCTGCCAATTGCAAAACTGTCCACTTGGCAGCACCTGCCAGAACTTAGACAATGGCTATGAGTGCATTGCCAATGCTACATTTGATGGTCATAACACATCACTGAGCTACTCTCTTCATGTAACTAGCAACTTCAGTATTAAGCAGCTCGACACAATCAGCATAACATATCGCAGTCGAACAGGTACAAGAGACCATTCTGAAAGAATTCCGGTTATAGACTTGAAAGGATTCTGACAGTGGTGTATATTGTACTTCTTTTGGCTTGTTTTGGACTTCATCCATCGCCTGGTATGTAAAAGACAAAAGACCACGACGTTTCGGAGACTAGATCTGTCTCCGTCTTCAGGTGGGTGGGGAAGGATAAACCTACTCAGTTGGGCCTGTTAGAAAGAGCTAGTCCAAATCACTGGGCCAGTGATTGAGAGTGAGTGATTGAGTGATTGACCTGAAGACAGAGACAGATGCAGTCTCTGAAACGTCGTGGTCTTTCGTCTTTTACATACCAGACGATGGATGAAGTCCAAAACAAGCCAAAAGAAGTACATTTCCAGTGATGTTTTATTGCAAACTTCCTGGACTTTGTCCATCACCCAATAATATAAAATAGAGCAATGTTTTGGGACTTGAATCTGCTCCTGTCCTTAGGTGGGGGGGTACCTACTCAATTACATCTGTTAGAAGAGGCCAGGCAATTAGGAGTAGCTCTGTCTAAGAGACCCAGCTGGTAGTGTCCTTTCACCTGATGACAGAGAGCAGGTCCAGTTTTCCAAACACTATCCAATTTCAGAATTCTGGTCCTAATGATTTTGGGGGGTGCCAAATGTAGCCCGCCTACTCCAAGAAGATAAACATGCCTGTGGGATAATCCCAGGTAGTAAGTTTATGGTTCCTCCGGAATATTATTTAAGTGAACAATAACCAAGACTTCCATTGCATGGGTTTTTGATTATGGTATGGTGTAGTGCCATGATAACCAGTGAAATCCAGTGTATAAGTGTCTGCTTCTTATTGTAGTCAGGATAATTGCTTCTCTGGGGCACTACTAGCCTGGCCAAAATTTGAACTAGATCCCTCCTAATATAAATCTGGGGCATGAAGAAAACATTAACCTCCATGATTAAAGTGTCCACCCATAACTGTGTGATGTTGAAAATAATCTCAAGCAAATTATTCAGTTACTTAATTTTTGACACTGAATAGTCAGTGCAGTTGATGAAGTGTAAAGGTAAAGCTGCCTTATGCTTAATTAAGTACCACATCATGAAGACATAGGCGTGGAGGTATAGGTCCAATTATTCTTGACACTAACTTCACCTGAGTAGTAAGCTTCATCCCCAGGAAAGAGCCCTCAGTGCCCATTGGCTAGGAAGGTGGGCGGGCTCTATACTGTGGAAAAGAATATAAGCTCTTCTTGATACCTTTGTCATGCAGCCCCTAGCCCAGTGCTATCCTGGCTTTGTTAATGAAGTGCTGGTAAAACAAACAAACTTACGAACTTGTTCTAGGTGGCACCATGTTGTATATTAATTCTGGTACCGAGTTCTTCTCAGTGTCGGTGTACAATGACGAGGTGACTGTGGCATGGAAGTTCAATGTGATGCCACTTGGGCAGGTCTACAGGTTCCGTAAGGATGAGCCAGATGGGAACTGGACCACAGTTCTTATCAGAATGGACAACAATGGCATCATGGGAAAGTTCAGCTTCGCTAGTGAGGACACCGCACAGAGCTTCTCTGCTTCCGTCTTCCCTCTGGAGTCATGGAAAAAGCTGGTTACAAGCAGCAAGATTATATTGGGAGGAAGGGCAGGCGTACAGGACAACATTGGTGAGTTGCCTTACATGGATGGGGAATAATCCTAAAAGTGAAGTGCACATAGTTCCAGGCTTGAGTCATGATATGAAGTGGTTCCTTTTGTTACTGACTGATACCTTTGTGACTTTTAACTGCAGAATCGCTAAATATGCTCTTAGTCCTTATATTCACACAATATGTAAAACCTTCAATAGAAATACTTTCAGAAATTTCCTTTCAAAGTATTTTTGTGAAAATATTGTGTTACTGAAGTAAAAATATTCCTCTTTAAAGAAACCAATAACAGGTGCTTTAAAAGTGGAATGCTTATCAGCTTTTATTAAGCACTATCTTCAGAGTGCTTGTATTCCTTGTCAGGTATAATTAGAATGATCAAATCAAGGAGGATGAGATGGGTAGGGCATGTAGCAAGAATGGGGGAGAAGAGAAATTCATATAGAATTTTGGCGGGAGAGCAAGAATGAAAGAAGCCACTAGGAAGTCCAAGATGTAGGTGGGTGGATAATACTAAAATGGATCTTAGATAAGATTGGGTGATGTGGACTGGATTCATCTAACTGAGGATAGGGACCAGCAGAGGGCTCTTGTGATCATGGTACTGAACCTTCAGATTCCATGAAATGTTGCGATGTTGAGTATCTACGCAACTGAAGGCTTCTGAAGAAGGGCTGGGCTCCATGGTTCATTGGTTGGTAGTTTGGTTGATTGGTAGGCTGGTCAGACAGTCAGTCTTCAAAACAAGTGCCAGGTTGCTCCAGCACTCACAGTATCATGGGCCACTTCCTTGTACCATCCTGACTGCCTCATTATTTCATTGTGACCTCTGGCCTCCATGAAAGGGGATACGAGGCAGACAAGGCAGGAGCAGTAGGGGAAGCAAGACAGTGAGCAAGTTCTGATGTTGGTAGCAGGAGAACAGATAACGATGACTTAGTGTAGATCTACTGGGTTGTATTACCAGTCAACCATTTGGATGCTCACTAAAAGAGCATTGAGAGTTCTGCTGATGATTGCCAAAACAGGAAAGGACTGACAGTTCTGCATTTTGTATATTGTTCTTTGATTGTCACAAAAAAGTGGAGCAAACTAGAATAAAATTCTTTAAACCTGAAGATGGATGCAGTCTATTCCTCTGATATCCACCTACCAGATTACATGGCACCACATCCCAGAAGACTGTGGTATTAATACCCACTACCATGAGAACTTTTTTGACAGTAGGACTCCTTATTTCTTTGTGAATACAGTTCAAAAGTGAACGTTGCAATGAGGGAAGTATGCAGAAAATAACTTTAGAATCAAATGAATGGTTAATTATTATGGAACGACCACAGAGTGACGGCAAGCAACAAACCAAATGTACATTTACAATGATGTAGCAATATTTGGTTTCAGCTTTTGCAGATGGAGTGTCGGTGTCAAGTAAACACAGTTACGTGACTTTTGGTGGAGAGGGCTTTGACACATTGGGCACTGGAGCGAATGAGAATAGAGTGGATTACACAAGCCTACCCACAGTCACAACCTCAGCCCTTCCCTCTGCCCTAGAAGGCGCATTCTTCAAGGTACTGTATGCATACTCAATTCAAAATATTGTCATATGTATTAGTGACTAGTCATGGGGTGTTGGCTGATAATCAGATTTACTGAGGGCTTGTAAATTCTAGCAACAGACAACTGTAACAGCTTAATGGATCTATACACTCTACAAATGACTGTACTGCTGCACACAAAGTCTTCTTTGTCCGCACCAGTCATTGCCTGATAAGAGCTCCCAACAATGTGTATTCCTTTGCTTCCTTGCTCATGTCCTTGCTGGCTGGCAGCTGGACCATAACTAACTCATGACAGCAACTTAACTGAGTTGACTCAACAGCTCTCACTTTGTACCCTTGGCACAAACCACATAGAAAACACCACTTCCAGTAGTTTGTTGTTGTCATGGGCTGTTGCCTAGCATTGGCTTGCTTGTTGATTGAGGCATTACCATGCAACAGACAATGTTTAGGTAGTCATGTCACATTTTAACTCTTTACACTGTGGACAGTCTCTTCATTGTGATTAGAATGTCACATGGAAGCATCTTATTGGTTTTACTTTCTTTTATTTATTTATGTTTCGCGACAATTTTTGTTTTTATAGAGAGTAGGTCTGTAGGATCTGAGGTTCTCACAACGGTCGTTATGAAGAGCTCCATCTTCTGGGATATAATGCCACGTAGCCTGTTGAAAGTCATCCAAATATCGGTTGATTTAACAGGACTACATGACGTCATATACCAGATGGCAGAACTCTTGAGATCACTCTTATTTGCAGATGATCTCCATGGGAAAGCTTTATCTATAAGTGGGTAGAAGGAACTGGATTTGTAGGCTCACATACTGACGCCATGGATTGACACCCTCCACTTCTTGCTCAAGCTGTTACACTTCCCCCACCAGTTTACTTGCAGTATATCCCCTCCAGTCATTAGGCCATTCTGCTGATAGTGATAACCATGAGATACTTTCACTGGCAGTAGGTCCTTTGGACTGGTTAACACAAGACAGAAGTAGTGGAGGGGAATGCAGCATTAGGCTAAGAGGGGAAACCTTGAGCACCATCATCCCCACCATCCATGGGTCTTCTCTCCGTGGCCTCAGTGTAGTCTTTCTCTCTATATGAAAGGTCGCATAAGGTGCTTTTTAAAGGATTGCTGTCTTCTGAGATGTGACATCACATAGTTTCATAGACAGATATCAACATTTCTCAGGAATCTGTTGCCTCCATCTTCAGGGTAGAAGAGTGACTTGTGTCACATCTCAGAAAACAGTAGCTGCCACCATGAGAACACCAACATCCACGAGGTTTTCTTGCTTTTTTTTTGTTCATGTATGTTTCTAGGCAACATCTTAATTTAATCAGCTAACGTATAATCCATGTGTGATGTGTGTCAAATTGTAACACCATGGATAATATAATGAATTGCATGTTGATGCAGGGATGCTTAGGCGAAGTTCGGATTGGAGGTCTCCTACTTCCGTACTTCACCCCTGACCAGCTGTATTCTGACAACTCCTCCACACAGGACTCTTTTGAATTGTCTGCACCACGGAAGAGGGTATATGATATGGAATCAGGCTGTCGGTTATGCTTTGAAAGTGAATGCTCAAATGGCGGTCATTGTGCGGACCCAGCAGAATCATATGTCTGCAATTGCAGTGCAGGCTTTGAGGGTGATGGCTGTACTGCAAACATCAATGAATGTGAGCAGAACAGGTGTGAAAACAATGCCACCTGTATCGATGGTATCGCCAATTATACCTGTCACTGCCAGCAAGGCTGGGAGGGTTGGCTGTAAGTGCATTTATTTCTTGTCTTCTATCATTCTATCAGGGAACTGGAAACACTCAGTTGATAAACTGACAGTTGTAGTTTTTGGAAAAGTTTTATAAAAAGTGTGTGTGAGAATGGCTTTTTTAGTTTGAGAAAGGGATTTGAAGAAATTTTGAGAATTGAGACAAGAGAACAAGAATTTTCTCTGCTAGGTAATATTTTTTTCACACAAATTACAGTTTATACTTGCTAGCCTTTTTATCATAATGCATGAGAGTGTAATCCTTATCCCTTTTTATATCAGATCATATTTTGATGAAAAATTTGTATAAATCACTGTTTTAAAAAAGTCAGTTTTAAGGCCATGCCCTTCCTCCCCATTATCAGAAAGCAGGAGAGGTAGATAGGTTTTGATGATAAGTATATTTGTGGTAGCTTTACAATTATGATGGGATGGGTTATTTGTGTGCTACTGTTCAAAACAAAAGCAGCCCTTTGAAAATTCTCAGAGTTCAAGATTGAAAAGTTAATGTTTTAATTGAGATCAAGGTCTTTTCTCTCAATTTGAGATACACATTCTGATTTATAGGTTAAAATCTTACCAGTTGCCTCTTTAACCCTTTCACTGCTAGTATGATACGTAACTCTCAGTACCCACTGTGCTGAATTATTTTTGAATAAATCTTTTGTAAATAATTTAAGTGCAAAGTATGAAAATGTGTGATAAAATGTAATTAATCTTACCTCAGACAGGGAACAGGCAGCAGAAGTTGCAAAGATGTTGAATTATTCAGTATTTTTCACAGCATTTTTCCATTTAAATCAGGATTATCCAAGATAGCCAAAAATACATAGTTCACTATCCTAGAATCATTGTATTTATATAACAGTCTTATCACTCTGTCACATGTTGACCAAAGTCCACAACTTTATTTAAAACTATTATAGAAAACACCGCCCACTATAGGAAGCCATTTTTACTAGCCCTGTGAAATACCCGTGTCACATGACCATGGAGTGTGTGCCTCACTGTGCAGATGCAACCTTTTACATTTCTTAAGCTAGAGGGCAGAAGAATGCAGCCATTGAAATGAATTATGCTTGATTACATTCCCAATAGATGGCTCTATCGACCTGCCAAGTTTGAATGAGATTGGTGGAAAAAAAAACTGAGATTTGAAACTCTAAACTCGCAATACGGGTTTTGTCGATCGCAGCAAGGACGCCATGTTTTTCACAGATCGACATATGTCGACAGCAGCAGTGTAAGGGTTAAGGGATTCAAGCTTCTGGTATTGAATTCACTTGTGTAACTTCATTATAAAGGGAGGTTCTTACCTTTGTTGACTGGTCCGTGGCTCTATGCTTTACAGCAACCAGCTGCGAGGGGTATACAGATTTTGCCAATAAATCAGTATGCCTGTTGGCTGATAATGTTCAGAATGAAGTGGTTACAATTCACAGATCACAGGAGGTATTGAAAATTGCCGAATAATTACCTGAACATATCTTTTGCAATAAGTTGTTTCATAAAAAACATGGATTCAATGATCCTTTTTGCACTTCCAGCAATCCAGACACCAAATATTACTGGATGGAGTAGGATTTCATGGGTTAGATGTGGATTCTGTGAATGGCAGGAGTGATTGTTTTGTGTATTTATATATCCCTGCAAGCAAAACCATACATCATCAGAAAAGAATGTCAATTGCGGGTTGATCTCACTTTTGACAACAGACTGCAGGAATCTACTGCAAAAATGACCCCTGATAGCTGGATCTTGCATTAGACTTTGAAACTCAAGACTCTTGAGCTAGACATTTCAGTGAATTTCTAGCTGCATGTTCAAGTCTGGTCCTTATGCCTACTAACTTTTCCTCAGCAAGCACGCAACACTTATGTTTGTTTTTTTTTTTCTTTTCTGTCAAGATCTATCTATCTTGATCTAAGTTTACTCACTAAATTGTGAGTTAGTCTGCTGGGAACTCTTTCTTCATGAAATTTACATCAGAGTTTTTGCTGGCACTTCCTAGCAGATCTGTATTTCACATAAGTGTAACACAGAAATACATGTTGCTCTAAAGTATACCTCACTGCTCACTAATTGTGACTGTGAACAAACGGCTAGTGGAGCTGATAACTGCTGCCTACTGCTGACAAATCATAAACAAATTCCCATACATGAACTGCATTGCTCACCATGAAACATAATGCTGTCAAGCAGTCCACAAAGTTAATAACGTCCCTTAATTCCAATCATTAATGGCCATCAGGCATACTGATTCATCAGCAAAATTCATATGCACCTCAGAGCCAGTGGTGCACTGGTTTCCGTGAACTGGCCAACAAAGGCAAGAGCCTCCCTCTATTTTTGAGATGTGGCACAATTTGTTCACACATTTCTGAAATTGTATTAGTGTAGCATTTCATAATAATAAAACCAAATATGTATATTATACACTATACAACCAAATCAAATATGACAAGTGTATTTCAATCCGTAGTGTTTCATTACCTGTGCTCTTTGTTTTTAACTGATTTAAAAAACTAAATTTATCCCTCTGCTCAATCAGTTAAGCACCACACCCATGAAGATGTATAGACCTATATACTCTTAACCTTGGCACTTTTTAACTCATTTTTAAATGTCATATGGGCTGGATATCCAATATTTAGACTGCAAATTATCCTTGCAAGAAATGGATCCAAATTTAAGTTATAAGAATTGAGAGGAAGAGTGACTTGGGATATCTAAAGCTGAGTTAGAACATGGCCCAGCAATAGGGTTCCATGAGCATAACATAAAATCTTCAGGTAAGGAATTTTTTGAGTAGTTCGGTGACAATCAGCTTGTCAAGAAGGACTCTTCTTTATGGAATTATTTAGGATGAACCAGTGTGGAATTCTATAGATGTAGGCCACTGTACACAGTTTTGTCATTCAAGTTCAAAATTATACTTACCTCATCTGTATGAAAATAGAACCTTCCTGTTACTTGTTCCCTGCTGTGCTGTGATAGGGAAAACCTAACGTGCATGCAATTCACTCTCTACTCATGCCAGTATGTACAACAGTTATGACTGTTAAAATAATATCAGAATACTGCAGTAGAATTTTTCTCATTCCCAGTGTTAATGTATTTTTCTGTAGCATGAGTAAACTTTAATTTATTAATGTGTTGTTCCTTGTTTAAAGTTCCAGTTACTGTGTACTGTGACATTGAGCAGAACCAGTGAAATTTCTGGCTTTTATTTTGGAAGTGCCTGTTTTGAGTCTTGGTTGGGATATCAATTGCCCTGACTGAGGATCTTTGTGGTTTTCTTTAGTCTGTCCGGGCAGATGTCAGGAAAGTAACTTAAATTTTGCCATGATCTCGTCATTCCACATTTGTTCCAATTCATTGTTCATATCTTGCAATCATTCAATCGACCTTATGTTCAGAGTGACTGGAGCATCATTAAATAAACAAGAGGTAGACAAGGAAAGTAACCACAGCCTATGCAAAGAACAGGTTCTTCTTATAGTAATGGTAAAGTCAACCCTGTGTTGAATTAATTAAGCACTATGCCATGAAGGCATATAGGTGAGTGGAGGTATAGCACTACCATTGTTGACCTCAGCACTTGATGGAGGTGAGTGGTCAGCTTCATACCCTGGCTGCTTTCCCCCTTGTACCAGTTGGATAGGAGGCTGGGTGGGCCTCAGAGCTGGTCTGGATAATATGGAGTTTGTCTTGTTGTAGATAGGTAAATGTGACTGAAATGTTTTCCTTTTGACCAGATGTGATGTTGATATTGATGAGTGTACATCAAACCCATGCCAACATGGCGGGACGTGCATTAATGGCTTGGGCAAGTTTGAGTGCAACTGTACTGATGAGTACATGGGTCTGTACTGTGAGAATTTCAAACTCATCACATGTGACAACTCACCATGCCTGAATGGGTCCACATGCACTGATGTGAAGAGTAAGTTTGCTCTGTGGTGATCTTCATTGCCTCTGTTCTCCATGCTCTTCCAGTGTAAAGCTTAGTCTCTTGTGCCTCTTTTTATGGCCTTCTGTAGTGGCAAGGAGACTGGTTCTCTTTTGAAACTGAACTTGAAAATAGAAACTTTGAAAAAGAAGATTTAACTGCAGTGATATAGTTTGACTGATATTTGTTGTCTTTCCATCAGACTCCAAGACAGGGGACAACTTTACTTGTACCTGCATGGAAGGTTTTGTGGGGCCAGTCTGCAACAAGCCATACTGCATGGAGCAGCCGTGCCAGCACGGAGGCACTTGTGACCTGACGGGGGTGGTAAGTTTGGCAAGCCTGTCTTTCAATGTACAAAACTAAGACATAGTTAAGGCAGTAGATCTTGAGATCTTGTTACGTGTTACATGTGTGCATGAGTGAGAAAGAGAGAGTGTGCATGCATTCATGCAGTGACACTGTCAGTATCGAGACTGTAATATCAGATGATTAATGAATGTGCACGTTGCTGGCGAAATGAGAATTGGCAGGAGGAAACCGAAGTAGTAGGAGTAACCCCAACCCTTTGCCACTTCATCCACCACAAATCCCACATGACACTCACCTGAGGTCAAACCTGGGCTACCATGGTGGGAAGTATCGACTAACTGCCAGAGCTGTGTCACAGCCCCCAGTATGTACATTAACACTCAGAGTTGGTAATAATTATGAATAGGGGCAGAAGATATTATGACATGTTGTGCTATGGATGGCGCCCCTCCCTCCCCGCCAGCTGTGATGTGCCGAGCGGAGCCGAAGTGAGCCAAGTCCCTGCACACTGGTCACGCTGCAACGCGAGTAAACAGCGGTTGCTAAGCAAAGCGGGTAAACAGTGGTTGCTAGAGACGATGGTAATAACAGTGGTACCCGTTACGCAACAGGCAAACACGGCATCAGAGAACAGTGGTGCCTATTACGTAACTGTTTTCCTGTTGTCCGGCTGAGGGTTTATAAGGGAACTACACAGCCGCCGAAGACAGTTCTCAAGGCAGCAGCCTATGAGTTGAGTTGGAAGTGAGTCAGCAGTCAGTCAGCAGTTAACGAGTTAAAAGTGAATTCTCAAGCCAGTAGCCAGCAGTTGGGTTGGAATCTAGCCAGCGGAGAGTTACGAGGTAGTCACGAGTTAGCCAGGAAGTCAACCCGTCAATTGTAGTCTAGCATTTGCAGTCTAGTATTTGTGATACTGCCGATGGCAGTAATGTTGAGATTGTAAACTGTGTGATTGTAAGAGCAAGTGGAATAATTCGCTATATCAAATAAGGCGTGAAATTATTTGTCGCGTTATACACCCAACACGTGACAATATCAATAAGAAACAGCAGTGGAAGGTATGCTTGAGTCACTATTGTGATGTCCATTGCTGTAAAATAATGATGGCATCTAGGTAGGTGCATTGAAGAGGGTGTCTAAAGTTTAGTATTGTAGTATAAATATAACTATCTTTATAGATCTTTGACAGTTATTGAGGTGGTGTATTTTTTACAATGTTTGTCTTTGTAAAAAACGCACATGCACAGAAATATGCTCAATGGACTTTATACATCACATTCAATAATGTTTTTCACACATTGCGGACCAGTTCTTTAAATAGTTAAATCACCCTGGGGACCAGGGTTTTTAAGGCTAGCACCCTAACTTGTGCACTGTTCACTTTAAAAATTAATATAAAAACTCCTAATTAATTTTAGGAACTAAAATGTTTGGAGAACACTTACCAGAGCTCCTAGAAGTGCTTACACATGTGATATCTCTGGAAACTTTTATCGGAGCTCTCACTTTCACTGGACACAATATTTTGGGACTGTCACTTTCACTGAGGCTGGCCTCACTATCAGAAGATGAAGCAGTTGGCAAATCTGATAGCTCATCGGAGAACAAATCTAATATTTCTTGTTCTCTGAGAGAACACTTTGCCTGTAACTGCTTTCGTCTCTGATCCATGTTGCACTGCTAACTTCCTGGTTCATACGTGGAAGCTTGGACTCGAACAAAGGCTTTTTTCTTTAGCGTGTGATAGGAAATGAGCGTGATCATGTTACTGACTAAGCTAGCAAACATTCCCGAGGTCAACTACGCAGTAGTTATGATGCAACGTGGTCACACAGTGAGATATAGTCGGTTGCAACATAACGCATCAGAAAAGGGCCAATTGGCCCGCCTGGTCCGCAACGCTATAGAAATGTAGAGGGCCAATTGGCCCCTCCGGTCCTGAATGTGTTAATATTGTCTGCTTTATGGCATGTCATATGCTGCTGTATTTGGTTATTCTTTGAATCTAATTTTGGATTGTATATTAACTGAATTTTATAGTCACTGGGACTGTCACTTGTCTGTCAGTATGCAATAGCACTTCATACATGCAAATTTCATGTAATGAGAACTGTCAGAATTGTGATAAGCTGTTGTTTTTCATTTGTTGGACATAATATGTTGCATTCAGTACCTCAAATGTTCATTTAATCCCTCTTTTTTTCTTAATGTTGTTACCTCTAAGTTTGCTTTTCAGCATCTCTGGTCTTTCCCTTGCTTTTTGCACCCCAAATTTATAACCTGATGCCATAGCCCAAGATGTATGGTCAGTCTACAGTCTTTGCGTGAACCTGTAAGGGCTTAGCTCAGTAAGAGGAGTAAGATTATTATCTTCTGGGATGTGTTGCCGTGTAGTCTGGTAGATGCCTACCATTTCATTGATTTTTTTTTTTAATAATTAAGCCTGTGTACTTAACCGGAGGTTGGAGAAAACTGCATAGTGAGGAGCTTCATAACTTGTACTCTTCTCCAAGTATAATTAGAATGATCATGTCAAGGAGGATGAGATGGGCAGGGCATGTAGCACGAATGGGGGCGATGGGGAATGCATATAGGATATTGGTGGGAAAGCCAGAAGGACGGAGACCACTGGGAAGACCAAGGCATAGGTGCTTGGACAATATTAAAATGGATGTTAGAGAGACAGGATGGGATGGTATAGATTGGACTGATTTGGCTCAGGATAGGGACCAGTGGAGGGGTCTTGTGAACACGGTAATGAACCTTCGGGTTCCATAAAATGCTGGGAAATTCTTGAGTAGCTGCAGATTTGGCTTCACCTCAAGAAGGGCTCAGCTCCATAAGTAAATAAGTAAGTAAGTGTACTTGGGTTAAGTATTGATGTTACTATAGGACATCCCATCATAGAAATGGTTATCTTCATTGTCACACTGAGCAAGCTAGCTCGTGAGGTGTCTGGTTTCACAGTCTGGGATAGAACACAGAACTATTCTGACAAAAGTTTTTCATGGTTTCTCTATCCCCCACCCAAATCCCAGGATCATGTCTTAAATTAAGCCATTATTGCTTCTATCCAAATCGTTTACAATTCATTATTCACTAATGATTCAGTTATTTGATGCAATATGGTCCAAGTTACTGACAGCACCATTAAATAAATCATAAACAAAATTGATACTTGTCTCATACAGAAACTGATATCTCGCTCAGCTCAGTAAGTCCTCCAAGAATGATCAATAAAATGAATGTGTTTGAAAGCAACTGCAAAATGATGGTTTGTGCTGGTGTGATCTGCATCCCTCCAGGCCCCGCTGTGTCGCTGTTATCCAGGCTACAGGGGAAAGTACTGTGAGGAAGATATTAATGAATGTGCAGAGGGACCAGACAAGGCTTCTCCATGTAAGAATGGGGCCAACTGTACTGATGGCATCAATAACTACATATGCAACTGTTCTGGCACTGGTGTGTATAGTGAACTTCTTTATATGGCATTCTTAACCTGAAGACTCCTTGAAATGCAGCCCTGCCTGACACTGCGTCAGTGTTGTAATAGCAGTAATTCCCTGCTGCTGTAGTATTATTTTGTACTTAGATACAGGAGACTGTGGTTTGAATCTTGGTTGGGATAACATCTATCCTGACTGACATTCATCAGTCCCTTCTGGTCCCTTCCAATTCATTATCCACTATCATATGGCCAATCAACACTGTATAATGAGATACTGTCAGTGTTTTTAAATAAACGTAAATGTATTTACTTTTAGATCTTCCTTGGTGTATATTAATAAATAAAATGTATTCTTTAGTCAAAGAAAGACCAGAAGAACACAAGACTGATATCTATTAACGATAAGATGAAATCTAGTATGGTCGAATGTAAATGCCAAGATGACTTGGAAAGAGCAGCTGACCATACCTCAGAAGTGATATTAGTTAGCTGTGGGTTCGTTTTCTCTCTTTCCTTTGTAACAAATGTGTCAGGATTGAATTCTGTGTGTCTGTGAGTCACAGTGAATCCTATGACTGTTACAGGATACAAAGGACTCAACTGCACAGAAGACATTGATGAATGTACCAGAGATCTGTTTCTATGTGGGGCAGGTTCTTGTGTTAATATCCCTGGCAGCTTCAGATGTCAATGCCCAGAAGGGAAATGTGGTTCCCAGTGCGCTGATGATGACCCATGCTCCGTGAGTATAAGCACTTTCTAATCACCTTCACATCTCCCAATGAACTCAATAACTGAGCTGTACCATAGTTTCAGTCAGGAGGGTCATGTCTGTCCAGTGAGAGTTCATGTGGTATTTGTTGCAGAATGAGTGCACGGGGCAGGTTTTCCCTGATAATTTCAATTGTCTCCTGCTAATTCTCACTGCATCAGTGCTCCAGGGCTGTAGCAATAGGTCTATTTGGGGCCACAGTACCAGGGGACTCTGCCTCACCCCATTCCTAGAAACAAAAGGGCAAAGTAGTTCAATAACCAAAAAGGAAACATAGATCAATAACCAAAAAAAAAAAGGAAAAGTTGTTCAATAACCAATATCAAAGTAGTAGTAGGTTAATAACAAAGGAAAATTAAAAGTAGTTCAATAACCATCAAATTAACTGGCTCTCTAATATAATCGAAAGGTTCAACTGATCAGTACTGAAGGTGGGTATCTGACATGAGCCTGAGCCATCCAAATTTGATTACTAACTGGAAACCTAGTTCTGTGAGATCCATTCTGATATTGTTCTCACATCTTCTAAGACCTCTTGATGGAAACTTTTCAAGACTTCTTCCTACTAAAATCCCCAAAGCTACATTACCAGCCCATCATAAATTTTCTGTGATATTTAAGGCTGTCATGGTACTGAATATTATATTATGGTCTTCTGGGATGTGATACCATGTAGTTGGGTAGGTAAATACCAACATTTTGGAGTAACTTGTTGCCTCCATCTTCAGGGATTGAGGCAGTGATATCAAATTACATGGAGTCACATCTGAAAAGACCAAGGTCTAAATAAACACTATGATCTGTCTGCCATGTGTTCTGTAGGAGCAATTAAGGCCTTAATTATATAATAATGTTCTACATATCTTCTTTAGAGGTTAGGTGTTTTCCTGTAGACTGAGGTAATGAAGGAGGGAAGTGGAACAGATAATCCAGAAACCTGGTACTGGTTACTAAACAGTGAGATAAATATCTTTTCAATAAAAGCAAGTAACCCATGTTAAGTGGTAACAGGCCAGTGTTAAAAGCAATGAAATAATAAACTAAAAAGTGGCACCATGATCAGGAGATGTACAGTCTACTGCAGATCATTGTAAACATAACTGTTATATATTGTCATTTGATTGGGTGACTATACATGGGGTTTGGATTGGTAATTGGATTTATTGAACTTTTACATATCCATGACTACAAGTAATTATAACCATTTCACTAGAGCCCACACTTAAGACTTCTCAGCCTGCTGTGGTATTCTGTCGATACTCCAATAGACAACCACTTCGGAAAGTTTGTGGGCCCTGATAAGGGCCGTTTGTTACTTGATAGGTCTGTCTGAAAGACCGGTGATGTAGGGCTGTGTGCACCGGTAGAAATAGATGTTGGTTACGGTGTGTTGGCTAATGTTGCGGCAGCTGAGTTAGTTGTCTGGCCACAGTGCGGTAGTTGTTGGAAGTTGCCTGTCACAGTGCGGCAGTTGCTGGAAGACGTCTGGTCACAGAGCGCGGTCGCTGGAGTGGCAGCAGCTGCACCAGTTGCCCAGTGAGTCGGGCATCACTGCCAGAGAGACAAGGCAGCCAGTTGCGGCAGCTGCATTCGCTGGACGCTTGCGGCAACTACGTCAGTTGCCCAGTGAGTCAGGCATGACCGCCGGAGAGCCGAGGCAGCCGTCCCTGATGCAGTGAAGTGCCAATGACTCCAAAGACCGATCACTCTGGACTAGGTGTGATGGCTGACTGGCTGATGTGGTCACTGACTATTGCGAGCTTTGTGCTCCACCTTTTATACCACATGTGATGGAGGACCAAAATTTGCAGTTGCAATTGTGAGCGCTCATTGGCTAGCGCATGTAATGATCTGAATGTGGACTAGACAGCGAGTACTGTATAAATGCGAGCGTTGGAAGCAATGTGATTGGTTAGCGCGCGTGATGGTGAAAAGTGAGCTGAACAGCAGGTGCTGTATAAGTATGAGAGCTGAACAGCAGATGCTGTATAAGTATGAGAGCTGAACAGCAGATGCTGTATAAGTATGAGAGCTGAACAGCAGATGCTGTATAAGTATGAGAGCTGACAGCAATGTGCTGTTGACTTAGGAGTGTTGACTGTTGATCGGCGAAACAGCATGATAGTATGTGGGATGTTCCCACACTGCTTAGGTTTCACCAGTCTTCTGGTAACAGCTTCTAGCAGTGGATGTTCCCCTCCCTCTGGGTTCCTGAACTGTCCCCTGGCCTCAGCTATCAGCTACTTACAGCAGCAGCTCACAATAACTGACGAACTCTCCAACCAACCAACTCACTCCACTCCACTGACTGACCCAACTCAACTTGACTCACCCCACTAATTGTCCTGCTTATAACATCACCACAGATTTCACAGAAAACACCATTCCTCTGTTGTTTATGGGCCACTGCCTAGTAACACTTGCTGTACAGTCACCAATCTTGCCATTGCCTGCTAGCAACAATATTATTAAAACATACATAATGGCCAACAAATCATTATGGAAAGCTATAGTCAGTAAGTCATAAAATGCTGGGAAATTCTTGAGTACCTGCACAATTTTCAGTTTCTCAAGAAGGGCTCAGCTCCACGAGTAAGTGATAGTCAGTAAGTAAGAGGTTCTGAAGGCCGCGCCATAGCTCAAGTGGTTAGTCGCTGGCTTCCCACCGCGGCGGCCCGGATTCGATCCCTGGTCTGGTCAAGTGGGATTTGTGGTGGACAATGTGGTGCTGGGGCAGGTTTTCTCAGAGTACTTCAGTTTCCCTGCCAGTCTTCATTCCACCATTGCTCCATAATCACCCTCACCTATCATCTGGGGCTGGTACAATAGGCCAGAAGTGGCCGGAGTACAAGGGACTTAGTCCCGCCCCACTAGCAAAAAAAGGGGGGGAGGGGTTCTGAAAGTTCATTACCTAAAGAGTCTCAGTTTTCTGCTTTGGAGATAATCCACAAAATGAACACTTGACAGGCTACTGTATCTTCAGACACTTCCAACTGATATTCCTTTCTCTATAAATGTAATCCTGTTTCCAGGAAAAACCTTGCAAGAATGGGGGCATATGTTTTGAAAAATGTGATTCCTCACCTGGAGACTATTACTGCGAGTGTCCTGTCGCTTTCAAAGGAAAGAACTGTACTGAGGTAAGTTTTCCACTGGACACAACAGCAATGCACTCTATTTAACTTGAGGTTTTGATAGCAATGAAGATATACACTTAAGTATTCTGGGTTGTAGCTCTCTACAGTATGGTAGGCGGTGACTTCTGCCTTGAAGGTGGAGGTGGCACATTCCTCTGAAATGTTGGTAACCTCCTACCAGATGTTATGGTTGAGTGGGCAGCATTCTTGCTGTGTATCAGGAAGCCTCGACTTCTTATCTTGGCTCAGAGATTGGCTATCCTGATTGAGGTTTCTCATTGGTATCCTCAGTCCCATCACACAAATACTGGGATATTGCCTCAGATGAGTCCATGAACTTGCTGTTTCACAACCCTTCCAACTCATTATTCACTAATCATTCTATATTCGATGTTGAATAATTTGTGCTACTGACAGCATCATTAAATAAACCATAAATATTCAAATAAGTACATATTGGCATAACACAGAAAGCCATATCCCAAAAAAGAAGCTCTGGGAATAGATAATTACCAACTTTCCTTTCACTACATACTGAGTATTTGATATGACACAGACCACATAGAAAACAAGGGCCCAAGAGTTAATTTATTGTCAATTAAGCATAGGGGAAGGCACAATAGATCACTGTGGTTGCGGTGCAAGAGCCAAGAAGGCCCACCCCTTATACATTCATTCATTCAAGCATAGGGGCAGCTTTACCTTGGACACTTTGAACCAATCATTTTTGTATACATATGTAGGGCATTTCCTCTCTGTTGGATAAGATCTTAAATCATTGTCATCTGTGTTCTCTCTCTCCATCATCATCATCATCATCATCATCATCTGCATGCATTGGTCTAATTATCCGGTTCTGACCCCATATGAAATCCGCAACTGGCTGTGTGCAATGCCCAGCTCCTAGCCACATGTTACCTGGGGATTTAAAAACCCATATTTCTGGATGACAGGAGCTGGGATAGCGCAGTCGGTATAGCGTCTGGCAACAGGTTGGGCAGCCAAGTGACCGGAGTTCAAGTCCCATTAGTGGAAGACTTTTCTCTTGTCTGCATCATCCAGACAGGTTCTGGGGCCCACCCAGCCTCCTGTAATGGGAGTTGTTTCCCCGGGGGTAAGGTGGTTGGGACATGCAGCTGACCACTCACCTACAGTGCCAAGGTCAAGAATACATGGAGCTATACCTCCACTCCACCATATGTCTTCATGGCATAGTGCTTAATTAGTTAAGCACAGAGACACCTTTACCTATTATTTCTGGACAGTAAAGATTGATATAACCATAGAAGCAAGAATATGGTCTCTCCATCAGTGGATGTTCTCTTCCTGCTGTTTCTATGGATTAATGTTCATAGAGTCTCCATGGTACATACACTCCTTGTTATATGCAAGTTCAAAAAATATGAGTTCATTTTAATACTTTTATGCTGAATTAATTTATGCTGGTTTCAGCAAACAGCACTTGCTTTCATGCAAACTGCTTGCTGGCTGATCAAAAGATGTGGTTTGGAATGGATGGAACAGAGTCTCAAGGGTGCTATCTTCTCTGCTTTGCTTGAAATCTGTTTTCACACTGGTTTCATGCTTGGCTTATTGTTTGACCCTGAAGTTGGAGGCGACATGTTCTCCTGAAACATCAGTTGACATATGCCAGATGATAGTACTCTTCATAACCACCACCATGAGAACCTCAACAGACTACATAGCGTTATATCCCAGAAGACAGAACTCTTCGTAACCTCTGCTGTGAGGACCTCAAATCCTACATGAATAGAGTATTGTCTGGGTGCTGAAGGAGGAATGCAGGGGAAAAAAGGAACATTTGGCCTAGCTGCATGACCTCTTTGCTGTCAGCCTTTCATAGGTTAAAGGGACCTTCAGTACAGTTTTTCCTTAACTGCAGTTTATAACACAATTGTCTACTGACTGAGGAGTATCTGTACACATTAACTCCTTGAAGAATTCATGATGCAGCACATTGGCTGCCCTTAGAGCAAGTCCATGTTACTGTGTTATTTTGCTACATCATCTTTGGTGTATATTGATAAATAAAATGCATTCTTTGGTTAAAGACAGACATAGAAGGGTGTAAGACTCTCATCTGCTAACAATAGAACAAAATACTGGTAAGGTCAAGTACAAACTTCAGAATGTCATAGAAATGTGATACAGCTGTTTAGACAGAGCAGGTGACATTAGTTAGCTGTGGGTTCATTTTTCTGTCTTTCTTTTTTCAATAAATGTTTCTGTATCGAGCTCTGAACTTCTGTCATTCAGACTTTTGATATGTTTAGATGTTCGCGGAAGAAGCAAGCCATAATGCGGTGGACATCGCCATCATTGTGGCACCCATTGTAGGCCTCATTCTTCTTGTGGCGGCAGTGGGCCTGAGTGTGTTCATTACAATGGCTCGCAAGAAGCGTGCAACTCGAGGCACATACAGTCCTAGTCAGCAGGAATATTGTAACCCTCGTGTGGAAATGGACAATGTCATGAAGCCGCCCCCAGAAGAAAGGCTTATCTAGGTGCGTAGGCAAGTGAAAAGTTACGTCTAAAGGACTAAAATGTTGTTGAGGGGAAGCATGATATCCCTGTTGAAAATCTCAGTGGGCTGCAACAGTGTAAGTTGAGCAGTGAGACCAGGCTTCAAGTGAATGCCCAGTTTTAAGACATGACAAGATGACTTTTAACTCCATAATATTATTTTATACTCATCTTTAATCTTCAACTTGTATCTTTTGTGGATATGGACAGACCAGAAGTATTATTATTTTTTTTAAGGACATAAATGTTCAAATAATAAGGCTGGCTACTTCGTGCAATTTCTATGCTAGTACCCCACTGATATTCAGGACCTGGCCACCATTTACAGTTTTTATGCTAAGATCTGGTTGACATCAGAGGCCCAGCCTCTATTTATAATTTTTGTGTTAGTGTCCAGCTAGTTACCTTTATGATGTGATGGAAGGTAAGGTCATCCACAGTGCGTAATATTGTAGCAGTAATTATTTCATTTGCCTGCTTAAATCATATGCTACTATTTGTTCTATTCTCAAAATGTCTTCTCATATCACTTAACCATTTCACAATAAATTGAGGACTTGTCACAATACTGTTATAAGCACAGAGCATCAGTTGCTCAGTAAACAAACTTCTATACTTTGACTTGCATGCAATAATATATCAAAGTGCAGCACACAAAAAAGGGATGTGTTCCTGAAAATAGATCTATATAATAATATTACATAATGCAGACCCTCCTCTTCCATTGATTCTCATGCTGTATTTATAGATATGTTCCTGTGTGACTTTCTTGGTGCACAGCTGTAATAAAGAAGCACTTTTATACCCATCAGTGATAACAGTAGGCACACAAAAATAAACTTCAAATATCTTGTTCCAATTGAAGTTGATATTTCCAGGAATCTTAAGTGAGGGTAACACACTGCACTATATGAAGTAAGAATGCTATCGGCCATCCCCCTACACCACTGATACATGGGTGTGACTAACCAGTGGCCAGCTACACCAATGATGCATGTGCATATGTGATCTGAATTTATTTAAAATATTTGTCATGATTTAAAATAAATAGTTTTGAGTGATTTTCCCCCCATTTATTTTTAGAATATGAAGCTATCCCTGTTAGAGGCTGTGGAGACCCATAGAGTTGTGAGTCGTTGAATATCCCTCATTTTCTAAAAAATTGGCTCACAGATGGCAGTGAGGTCATCAGCCTTTTGCACCGACTGCCCTTTACCCCCAGGAAGTTTCCTGGTATTAATTTCGGTTACAGTCTGTGTCAACCCCAGGGCCATAATGTGGTGGAAGGTTTAGGTCAATTGCAAAATCCAATAACCTCATCGGGAATCAGACCCGCTACCTTCCAGGTCATAGCATAGTGCTTCATAAGCTACCTTGGTTTAAAATATTCAGATATTTCTCCCAAATTCCATTAATGACAAATTTATGGATACAATGAATTTTACAGATATATATATAATTTTTTTTTTCCCCTGAAAGGTAAAATTCCATAACCCATACCTTGGGGAGGTGGCTGGGCTCAGTTTTCAGAGTATGCCAGAGATTTTACAGAATATCCTATGACTCTGGCTGTTGCAGGAATATCCAAGTTCAATACAGGTTCAGGGTTCTGCTAGGGGAATATTTTACTTTGATATTAGCATGTGTATTACTAGTTTATTTCAGAGTTTCCCCAAAACAGATTGGATCTCAGTAGAATAATTTCTCTCAAACTACAAGGCTGAAAGATTAACCTTTTTGTTGCTAGCCTCCAAAAACCTTACCCATACAAAAGCTGCCAGTGAATATTTGTTAATATTTTAAATTCTGATTAGACTTATTCAGTAATGAAATATTTATTTTCCTTGCCACCACTGACACTGTTCTTTGCCTCTGTGACAAGGCAGCAGTTGCATATGTTATAAAATGGCAGTCATGCAGGAAGCAGACAGTTTACCTTATTGGTGCTGGTGCTTATGCAATTTTTTGTCACCAGTATAAATATTCTCTGCACTGTAAGGGTCAGAATCCTCAGTCTTGCTCAGATATCTCTTGCCATGACATAACATTATGATGATCCCTGCTTACCATTCCATTGATGATATGTGTTGTTAAGTTTAAACCATTCAGAACTAAGATGTTATGGTTTAATACATTTTGAAAATGGTTCCCATAGAAAGAAAATTCATAATCATCACAAAGCAGTGATGTCAGTGGTGTCAGATGTGGGATATTCATTTGTGATATTCATGATGGAAATTATTTGTGCATAAAAATGTACAGTTAAGGTTTTGTTGGGGAGCAGTAAATGTGAACACCAAACTAAGGTAAATATTACATGGAGGTAATCTAATGCTGAGATGATTGCCTTCAGATAATTGAAATTGAACGCTAAATGAGGGGGAAAACTTACCTTGAGGAACATGAAAAGGGTGGGCTAAGTTTGTGGTAGCATCCAGTACAACACCTAAAATATTGCACAGATTGTGATGTGAACTGGGGCTTAATTTCTGAAGTAATGACACCCTGATTAAATCAGGAAACAAAAATGTACAGCAACTGAGGTATTAATAAGCTGAACATGAGTTGTAGAAGATTTCTGTGTTCCTTTTTTTTACTGTCTAAAATCGTGAAAATCTCTGTTTTTGATTTACATCTGTTTTTTGGCTCTTAATAGTGCCATATATCATTGTTATATAGAACTGGGATAATTATTGATAAGTGACAATAATTTTATGGGCAACAAGCAGAAGTGCTGGCTCTTCAAACAGAATATGTTCGCTTTACATATTGGTACCACGGTACATAGTCAGGGCAAGCAGTAATGTAGTTGGTTGGTTGAGGCACTATGCTCCAAGCTAGAAGGCTGCAGGCTCAAGTCCCAAGGAGGTGGATTTTTTTCAGTTCACCTAATCCTTCCAGATGCACTATGCCCCTGGGGTCAACTCAGCCTCTAACAGAAATGAGTATCAGTAATCTTCCTGAGGGGTAAAGGGTGGCTGGCACATAAGGCTGACAAACCTACTGCCATCTGTGAACAAATTTTCTACAGAAAATATGGGAGCCCCAACGTCTCGTAACCCTATGGGCCTTAATTGCCTGTTATAGGGATAGCATTGCCTTGTTTACCTTCATCATGGTACACAGTACTGTAAATTCTTCATTATCTGGCACGTATGGGTGTGGATTGTGCTGGTTACATTAATATGCCAGTTGCATGAAGCCAAAATTTCACACTTTTCAGTCCATTTCCATTCTCTATTTGTAGATGAACACATGTTTTCAGTTTCTTGCATGGTGGTCTTCTTAAGTAACAAAGCAGACTGACAGGTGAAATATGTTAGATATATTATAATGTGTAATGAACTTGGCCACTTACATTCAGTTAGTGCCAAGATTAGGAATGCAGAGAGCCGTACCTCCACTCCAACATACATATTTATGGTGAGATGCTTAATTAAACAGAAGGGCAACTTTAACTTTGTGAGATTTGAGATTTTCATGATGATGACTATGTAGAATGTTAGCATTTGGAGCCTGACGCCTTGTAGTCTAGCAGAATATTACCAAGGTTTTGGAGGAACCTGCTGCCTCCATCTTCAAGATAGAAGAATAAGTTGAGTGAGATATTCAGTTCATCCTTTCTCTTCTCCCTTCTTAATCCCACCCTCCCCCACCTCTGCTCTCTGAATAAGTCTCTGCTAGTGTTTTGTCTTTTAGCCCATTCACTCTGCCTTTGAATGAGAGCTATCAAAAGGCCATTTCCTTTGGTGTGTTCCTTTCTGAATGTCCTTCTACCTCCTGTTTGTTCAGTCAGAGCAATTATTTCTGCTATGAACACTGCTCTTGAGGGCCTGCTGTAGCATAGTTGGTTAAGGCACTATGCTACAAGCTGGAAGGTCGCAGGTTCAAGTCCCGATGAAGTCACTGGATTTCTTTCAATTGACTCATCCTTCCAGCCGCACTATGGCCCTGGGGTTGACTCAGCCTCTAACAGAAATGAGTACCAGGAATATTCTTGGGAGTAAAGGGCAGCTGGTGCGTAAGGCTGACAATTTTGCCGCCATCTGTGAGCCGATTGTCTAGAAAATGTGGGACCCTCAACATCTCACAACCCTATGGGCCTCCACAGCCTGTTACAGGGATCTCTTTACTTTTACTTACTTTTTTATGAACACTGCTCTTGGAAAAAATCCCTTCAGAGAGCCATTATTCATTGCACTGTTTTCCATATTCCAGTTGTTCATTCAAAATCCCAGTCTTGGTTTGCCTTCTCTTTATGTCCATAAGGCTTTCTCTATACTATGTTCATTTTTGTACCCTGAAATTGGAGGCTGCAGGTTCCTCTAAACAGTCGTTCTCAACTAATAGGCCATGAGCTTTCAACAAGTGTGCCAAGGGGCTTTGAAGCAAGAATATTAGTACAAAATAAGTATTTGCATAAACTTTAAATTGATATATATATATAATCAAACTTCATCATGTTTATGTTGTATGATAATTTTATACTTTTATAGAATATACGGTGTATAGCCTTGTTTATAAATAGGTGTACTTTTATTCTATATTTTAGTTCTCTATTCCTACTCTAATGTGAGAGTGTCTTTAAGTGTGCCTGGAGCACCACAGGTTGAGAACCACTGCTCTGAAACATGGTGATGATCTGCCAGGTTACACAGTGTCAAGAGCTTGAAGACAGAAATCTTCAGCTTTCACCTTTACCATAACAAAAAACTGTATCCTACATAGCAGTTGTGCTGATCATACTTTGTTAGAATATGCAATTTTTATTGAAAATTTTAAATAAATTTCAGACTAAGGTCTGATAAATTCTGTGAATGAAATTAAGCCCAGGGATTTAGTGAAGTAATAATGCGTATATACTGTGACCATTTCTGTAACCCAAGAGTTTCTACTTATATTCCAAAACAAATTTATAACAGAGCTCAAACCAGACAGCCGTCCAGTGTGTGTGTGTGTGTGTGCGTGCGCGCATTGTGTATATGTTTGCTGCATTAGTTGGAACAGAAGACTTAAACTGTGAGCAGAACATAGCAGTGCTAACAGGAGTGTAAGAGTGAAATGCTCCGGGCTGGCAAGCCAAGCAATGAACTGCCTGCAACATAGTAACATTTCTTGTCACAGTGCCTGAGAATTTCATATTATTGTGAGGCAGTATGGAATTTCTTCATGCCTTGGAGCCATAAGCCCAGGAAATAGTGTAAATATATAGTGTACCTTGTTGTTAACAGTACAATATTAAAACATGAAATAGTGAATTATATTTATCTGTATATGTTCATGACCTTGACACCTGAGTTCCCTGATATGCCCTGAATACTGACAATTGTGACTTTTTCACAGTCTGTTATTCTCATTACTGCAACTTGATTTAGACCACAGCCTCTTCTATTGTACAGGTTTTCTTGATCCAAGTGGAGAGAAGCTAAAGGATCTAGAAATTCTATAGGCAAAGGGCAAAAGAAATCAAGTGAAATGTTTTGATTTAATGGTGACAACTGTTGAATAACACCATGTCTGGAATTAATATAAAGATAAGTTACAAACATATTTACTCTACTGAGGGCACAGAAAGAGTCCCTGTAGATGAAGTTCAGAGAGCTCAGTGTTTCCCAGTCTCTGCCTATGTTGTATAATGTTCAGCTCCAGCCCCCTGGGCTATGGCAACCAGCCCAATGCTCTTATCACAAAGAAGACTGGAGGGGAGTATAGGGCCATGTGACTTCTTTCCCTGGCCTCAATATAGTAATGCTGTTGGTATTAACGCTTACAAGGTCAGATCCTTCAGAACTCTTAAAAGGCATCTCACATGTACAACTGGAACTCTTTGTGCTTGTTTAATGTACTGTGCCTGACATA